GACAAACTGTATGAGAAATAAGGTCACAGAATGCAAATTAGAAAACCACTTTTTATTGTTATTTTAAATGTTTTTGCAAATGATTAAGGGATTTCTTTACTTTCAAAATCATAAATGGCACTAGGAAACTAATTCACAAATGATGACTGTATTTAATATTCAAGAACTCGAAGGTACAATTTAAAACACGCTTGAACAAGCAAGGCTGCTGTAGCTAGAATTGAGTATGTAATATCAGGCAGTTGTCAAAAAGTGTAACGTAATGTCTACATACTTTATCAAACATAAAACCGTATGCTTATTTTAATAGTAGGTTAATACACAATACCATATAAAGTAAGCTAAAAGAATGTTTTGATTCACTGTTACGGAAGAACGACAAACTTATTTCTTTATCAACAGCTGCCTCTAAAGATGTGTTGAAGCAACATTTGGATTGAAAATTTTACCTTAAAAATACTGTTCCCTCATATAGTGTGTACATCATATTTCAACCCAAAATTTTTGGAAAAAAATTGTGCATAATATGTGGGTACTTACAGTATAACTAAGGGTACTAGTTTCATAACATCGTTTGTGGGAGTATCAACAGTTTTGTTGTACTGTTCACTTTCAGCAGGCCATAAATTACACTATTAAATCTATGTTGGGGTTTACATTAATTACATACTTCACAAACTTCTTCTGGACAAGTATAAAATCTACTGTGTTATTTGCATATTTTTCCACTTGTTTCTCTAACATTATATTCATATCTTAAACCAGTATTTTTCAAACAGGGGGTTCTGACCCAAAAGGTGGGTTTCAAGATCATGAAAAATATTGTGATAGTGGATGTCTTAGAGTTGGTCCAGTAATTTGCTATCTCTTTTGTAGGTGTATGTTGTCACATCCTGAAATATTTTTAAAGGGGGGCCCAGTAAAACAAAGATTGAAAACCACTGTCCTGAGTATTTGAATTTATACTACAAAATTAACTGAACTTCTAACCTTGATGCATCAATTATCCTTTTGTTGTTTGTTTCATGCGTAGCTGTATTGTCATTTTTTGATTGTCCTTTATGTCAGGCAGTATTGGAATGTTCTTCTTTTGTCTTTCTGTGCTGAATTTTTATTTTTGAGATGAAACTTTGGGAAAAGTTCTTATGTGACCTAGAGTCACCTAGAGTGATAGTGTACAGTTATTTTATGACAGTTAAGCCTATTTGTTTGACAACATTCTATTCCTTCAGTCATTTGGACCAAAATGTGGTGCATCAGTATGGGCATGGTAACCCTCCTTTTGTAATGTGTTCACTGATATTATTCAAATCCTTTCATAATGTTCAGGAAATGCCCTCCCAACTATTGCAGCTGTTTTGGAAATTGAAAGTGACTTTTCTGAATATGCCAGCATCATTTCCTTGCAGGCCTTGTTCTAAAATGTTTTAAACAAACCAAACTGTTGCATCAAATGGTCAGAGCTTATGTATGAGGGAAATGTTATTAATATGATCTCATTTTCTTTAGCAAGTGTGATTGATTCTGTAGGAGCATGATTGTCAAGGAATACTTGTTGAATTGGCTTATTGTTTTTTGGAATGATAAAATGTCACCAAAACTTATCAAGTCTTCAAATTGTAACTCTGGGAAGATTATCATTAGAGGTGTGACATAAATACCAACCACATGTATTACACAAATATTACATATTGTGTACAGTTTCCTAACCCTAACCTCATACTATCAAGTTGTTTTACTTCTATGGGAGTCATGATTTCTGGTATTATGTGAACAATTAACACCTGTCTCACTAGACTTTCACATTATCTTATTTGGAAAGGATCCATTTTGAAGTACCTTATTTAGAATTGACAAAAAACGTTTGAACATTGTCTTTGTTGACACTTACCAACCAGATGGACTTTTGCTTCTGCCTTTCTTAGCAGTAATTCCTTTTCACATTTTCATACAAATTCATGAATTTTTGAAGCCACGTTTTTAGTTTTTAAATTTGATTAATATGTGTTGTTTGCTTTTGTAAATTGTAAATTTAATTATCATACACCCAGTGTTAGAGTGCAGTAAGTTCACCTTTAAATACTTTATCAACAGCTGCCTCTACCCAGTGTTAGAGTGCAGTAAGTTCACCTTTAAATACTTTATCAACAGCTGCCTCTACCCAGTGTTAGAGTGCAGTAAGTTCACCTTTAAATACTTTATCAACATCTGTCTCTACCCAGTGTTAGAGTGCAGTAAGTTCACCTTTAAATATTTTACATATATTTGTTTAGGGGTAACGATGTAGCTAAACATTGATGGATTGTTATTTTAATAAAGAGTGGGAGATCAATATAAGATGGTGCTCTAACAGATTAGTGTTATATAATAATTTCATAATTTGTATGTTATTTTGACACAAATACCCATAAACGTTGACATTTGTAGCATGTAGTTTAAAATTCGGGTTTATAAATGTTGTCAAGCTTTAGATGTATTTTTTACAATAGTTTCTGTTGTTAAAGAATTGTAATCCACGTATATATTTCATTATTATTGTTTAATTGCTAAACTATCAGTTACATGGTATTGTTTATATGTAAACTACAAGAGATTGAGTGTGGTGTACCTTGAGTTACTGCAGACTACGTGCGATAAATTGTACCGTTTACATAATGTAATAAATCAGTATACCGTACAGGTTTGATATCTTAACTTTCAGAATTTTTACTCTTAACATTGAAAGAATAATACATTTCAGTTATTAAATATAACAAACTGTCATAAGGAACACCCCAGTTATCTACCTTGGAAGTGAAATATAAAGCATAGAAATTAGTATACCTATTACATTACAATTCACGTAGCATAACTAATTATAATCGAAATTACTTACTATTAATTAGAATGTATCATGAATTAGTCAAGAATATACTGACAAGAGTCAACCTCAAAGGCCAGTTGGCAAACTCTGTAGCTGCTCATTCAGATACCGTAAATACCCGTGTATAGCATGCAGTAGATTTTTTGGCCTTACGGACTAGGAAATATCAATATAGCGCTCACAGCAATTCTAACAGTTGATCGGCCCTAGTGATGTATTGTTGTTTTGATACGTAAAGTATAGGAGAGTGATTACCATTGAATGTTACTTTGAATGTACTGTAGCATACGATAGTAAAATCATCTCATGACCCAGTGCAAAAATTACCCAAAAATCAAAAAAGATTTGCCCGATTATATTTTGACTGATCATTATTAGCAAATACCAGCATACAAACCTTGTCATTTTTTAAATGGGAATTCTTGCAGAAATACAAGTTTTATTCACTGTAGAATAATAACATAGAGCATTTGTCTATGTTTAATATGATGTTTGTATTCATTGTGCTTCTTTTTTTTATACTTCTGGTGAATCTGTGTTTAATATCACATTTAATCTGCATTTGTTGTGCCTTTTTTTTTACTTCTGGTGAATCTGTGTTTAATATCATGTTTATTCTGCTTTGTTGTGCCTTTTTTTTACTTCTGGTGAATATGTGTTTAATATCACGTTTAATCTGCATTTGTTGTGTTTTTTTTTACTTCTGGTGAATCTGTGTTTAATATCATTTTTAATCTGCATTTGTTGTGCTGTTTTTTTTATACTTCTGGTGAATCTGTGTTTAATATCACATTTATTCTGGTGATCCAACAGCAACAAACAATAATTACATCATAATACATCAAGTCCATGTAGTTGACTTTGTACTTTCTCTTGAAAGAACACATTTCAAGTATGGTTTTAGAGAACACATTTCAAGTATGTTTTTAAAGAACACATTTCAAGTATGTTTTTAGAGAACACAATTCAAGTATGTTTTTAGAGAACACATTTCAAGTATGTTTTTAAAGAACACGTTTCAAGTATGTTTTTAAAGAACACGTTTCAAGTATGTTTTTAGAGAACACATTTCAAGTATGTTTTTAGAGAACACAATTTCAAGTATGTTTTT